GTTGAAAAGACTGTGTCGACACGATAGGCGACAAATACAGGTTTGTACCCCCCCCTTTCAGTTTGCTTTGTTTTTTCTGTCAAATTTTATATTACCTGACCTGAAAGGTTCATCACTTGGCGTCCGTCATCAGTCCGTCCGTCCGTCTGTTAACAATTTACTTAAAGATCTTCTCCTCTGAAACCACTTGACCAATTTAAACCAAACTTGGTCGCAGCAATGGTCCTCAGGCGGTCCGAGGAGTCTTCTGGTTTGGTATTGTGGCCCTGCCAGTTTTCTGAAATCTGAAATGAGGGACCATTTTTTGAGGAGGGGGACTTGTGAAAATTGATGTCTCCATTTCTTGTCCGAGCCTTTTTAAATTTAAATTGAGGTTCACTCTCATGGAAATCTTAGTTGAGCTCGATTTTCAGAAAAAAAAACTTAAGTGAGAGACCTTATTTTGGGAGGGGGACTTGTAAAACTGCACGTAAAAACTGATATCGCCTGGATAGCGTCTCCATTTCTTGTCAGAATCTCTTCAAATTTAAACTGAGGTTTACTCTCATAAAAACCTTGGATGAGTTCGATTTTCAGAAAAATCTGAAATGGGGGACATTGTCTTTGGGAGGGAGGGGACTTGTAAAAATTGCACATAATAATTTGTTAACACAGAGATATGTCTCTCCTTTTTATTTTTTTGATAGTAAAAGGCAAATGTCGAAATCAAAATAGCAATACTTTTTACATGTGAATTAAGCGAGGGTACATGGCAAATTAATCTCCATGGAAATGAGATGTGCCAAAGTTAATACAGCTGAATACCAAATATCATTGGCCTACCACTAGTCGTTTCCCATTAACTGACCTATTCACAAACTAATACATGTAAACTAAGCAAAAGTTTCAAAGTCAATAGACCATGACTGATTACACTAAGCAAAAGTTTCAAAGTCAATAGACCATGACTGATTACACTAAGCAAAAGTTTCAAAGTCAATAGACCATGACTGAGAAGGTGGAGCCAAATAAAATTCGTGGAAATGAGATGTACCAATGGTTTTCCATTTGCATACCAAATATCATTGGCCTACCACAAGTGGTTCCCCAGAAACTTTTTTTTTTTTTTTCTAAAATCACATTTATTGCACTATTGCTGTTATGATGATACCATGTCTACAGCATTTGACAGGGCATCCCTGTAGGGTTAGTTTTACTGAACAAACAGGAATATGTCCCCAGAAACTTACCTAATCACAAACTAATCCATTGTTGGCGACACCGCCGCCGAAGCCGGAAAACTGCATACCTTTGTCCAAATACCGTTTCGATTCCTAACATCACTGAAGAGACATTAATTGTCGAAATCCGGATATGGTGTACAAAAACCTTTGCACCTTTTGTTTGCGGTATATCATCTTTTCCGCAAGTTTATTGTTTTCTGTTTTGTATTAAATTTATAATTAAGATCCATTTATTACATCGGTGATCCGTTTCTTTGGCAATCGCCAATGGCAGTCAGTAGGGTTTAAGAACATTTGTTGTTCGACCTGTTAGTCAAATGCGTTTTGTTAAAATATACTTTTTCACAATTTTGGTCTTTTGGAAAATGTTGTTTGTGCTGTATTTAGACCCCTCTAACAAAGAAATTTATTTTGCATGCACACGTATAAAAATTGCGGTTTTTATCCAACGCAATCATAGGTTTGAACGTTGTTTTCAATTTAGACTTTTTTATATTTTTTCGTTTGCGGTATTTGGAAAGCCATACAATTTACCTCAATTTAGGATAGACTCTTGAATTTGAGGAGTCAACATAGGATGAACGGATCATATAAACCCGAAGGCAAATATAATACAAGCCCAAACGAAAAAAATAAAAAAAAGTCTAAATTGAAAACAAGGTTCAAACCTATAATTGTGTTGGATAAAAACCGCAATTTTTATACGTGTGCATGCAAAACAAATTTCTTGTTAGAGGGGTCTAAATACAGCACAAACAACATTTTCCAAAACACCAAAAAAGTGAAAAAGTATATTTTAAGAAAACGCTATATATATATATATATATATATATATATATATATATATATATATATAAACAAGTCTAAATTGAAAACAACGTTCAAACCTATGATTGCGTTGGATAAAAACCGCAATTTTTATACGTGTGCATGCAAAACAAATTTCTAGGTAGAGGGGTCTAAATACAGCACAAACAACATTTTCCAAAAGACCAAATGAGTGAAAAAGTATATTTTAACAAAACGCATTTGACTAGCAGGTGGAACAACTGATGTTCTTAAACCCTGCTGACTGCCATTGGCGATTGCCAAATAAACGGATCACCGATGTAATAAATGGATCTTAATTATTAATTTTATACTAAAAAGAAAACAATAAACTTGCGGAAAAGTATCCGGATTTCGACAATTTGGTACAAAATCCAGTACAAAAGGGTTGTCGCTGAAATACACATTAACATAGGAAAAATTCAAGAGTCTATCCTAAATTGAGGTAAATTATATGGCCTTCCAAATACCGTTTCGATTCCTAACATCACTGAAGAGACATAAATTGTCGAAATCCGGATACTTTTTCTCAAATTTATTGTTTTCTGTTTAGTATAAAATTTATAATTAAGATCCATTTATTACATCGGTGATCCGTTTATTTGGCAATCGCCAATGGCAGTCAGCAGGGTTTAAGAACATCAGTTGTTCGACCTGCTAGTCAAATGCGTTTTGTTAAAATATACTTTTTCACTCATTTGGTCTTTTGGAAAATGTTGTTTGTGCTGTATATATATATATATATATCAATTGTTTTATTAATGATTATGTATTTCAATTTTCCGAGGGATAATGCAAACTGCTTACTATCAATACCGATTGTTTGATGGATCTAAACACTATCTTAGCACTATATCGTGACGTGCTTGATGTCAATAATACACAAAAAGCTATTAAACCTTGTTTTACATAATAAAATATTATATTTCTAAAACAATACTTTGTAATACGTTGAAGTTTTTATAAATCAGACGACGTTCAAACATTGTGTGTTTCAGCATCATTACAAATTGTTGTTTCGTTGGCATTTTTTGATACATCATTGAGTTCAAGACATAATTCTTCATTGAAAGTCGTTATTTGAACATTTAGCGATTCTTTGCTATGTTTATTAACCTCAGTATTTAAATCAGAATACGGTTGTTTTTCTGGTAAGGACTTTTCGTTGTCTATCTCGTTTTGTAGTGTTACTTCCATCATAACTAACGAATGGTATGGATGTAAATACCCCTCACTGTCAGTACCACCAGTCGTTAACTGGTTACCGGAACTTCTCTTACTGTCGTAGGTACTATTTGATAACGATTCTAGACGCATGTTTTCTTCTTCAATGTCAATATAATCGTGTTCCTCGTCTTGTATTTGATTATTTTCTTCTTGACCACCAATTTGTTGTGTCAACGGTATCCCCGATTCTGACGTATTTAATGATTGCTTTCGTTTTTTTCGACCCTTCCAGCAGACGAACATAAAAGTTATTGCTAAAAGTATAATCACCAGAACACTGCCGACACCAATGGAGAAAGTTATTAGTTGTCTTTTTATTAAATCTGTAAGAGAATAAAAAAACAAATGTAATCTTTTATGTTTCAACTGGTCATCAGAAGACGAAACAACGGCATACATACATGTAATCTGGTCAAGAACCCTGAAAAGATTTCTGCGTCTCGTCGGTAGGATGTTGTCGAGCCTTAATTACCGATTATCAGGTTGTCTGCATATTGATATTGTAAACTATAAGCTGCGAGTCACAATATGAAGTTTTTTGTCGAATGGGAACGAGTTCACAAAGGCTTCATATGGTAACGAGCAGCTGATATTTTACAATATAAATATGCAGACAACTTAGTCTAGATAATCGATTTATCGGGTTGCATTTGCGTATTTTGCATGATAGAAACAAGTATTTTCTTTGTTTCACCAACAAACCGGAATATTCGGTTTCATTCATTATGATGTCGGTGATATGTCCGGGTCAAAATTATTAAGGATGTTCGCTCCTCTTGTTTTTTTAATTTTTGCCAGATATTCGGAATCCTCTGGTTTTATCCATGTAGTGCCATTAAAAATTTGCACACTCGCCCCTACTATTCTTAGACTTTCCATAATTTGACTACATATAGTTTAACATGTCATCTTTGAAAATCTTATAAAATCCTTGTAATGTTTTCATCGTTTTTGAAAGAAAAAAGATGCCAATGTTAAATGTATGAAAAATCTAGAGAGAATTATTTCTCGCCAAATTTTCAATGGCTTATATCTGGAAAACAAGCACACGGACCCTTCATTTTTTTCTGCATTTCTAATTTCTTTATTTATATACTATCATTTTATAACAGTCTTTTAAAAAGCTTGTTATTTTGAAACAGAGGAGCGAACATCATTAAGCCTTCCATCCTCAATGCATTGTTGAGGTTTTATTGATGCGTTCATTATTATTGAAATAGCATGCTGTATTCAAAGATATTCCTGCAAGTTAAATATTCTTTCAAATAAAGCTTGTTCATATAAATTTTAAGAAACACATATTTAGCATATGGCCATTTGAGGTCAAATATGTGCATCATGAAATTTTTCTGACATCACCATGGCATTGTCGTTTGTTTTGCCATATATCTGTGTAGTAAAAGGATAACTATTATATACATGTATCTTTCATCAATGCATCACTAAAAGCCAGATATGAATTATGAAATACACAAAAATTCAATTGCCATTTGGAGAAATATGAGATAATTTTAGAATAGTCTAGTGCCAGAATGACGTCAGGTTTAATCGATGCTCTCTTTCAATTAGTCAATTAAAATAACGTTAGACGTTATAAAAAAAAATTCGTTTAGCGCCAAAAAAACGTCAGGTTTTGTCTATGCTCTCTTTCATTTAATAATATTAGACGTTATAGACTTGTATATCCGTTGATTAATACTCAATCTACTTAATATTATATATTTAGATAAATGTACCTTGAATCTTATGATCTTCATTGATACCGTGCTGTGTTTGAGTTTCAACTGTAATCTGTTTGGTCTTCATTGTTGTATAGTCTTTGACAACTCCTAGATGTTTTCCTAATTGCAAAATGTCAAAACTTATATCAGTACACGAAGATAAGGAGCTAAATGTTTACCAGTACATTTACCTATATAAATAGTATCCATTAGAGACAGAAAGGATTACCAAAAGAATATGCACAATACGTACAGGTCTTCAGCAATAAAGTATATACATATAAAGTATCAACATGACAACCAGCGAGAGAGCGCATTGAGAGTATGAGATTGTCCAATTACCAAAAAGACTCAATGAGAACATTCAAAATCAGTATACGCATAAAAGCAAGGAACAGAGTTGTATTTCTGTTCAACATCTCAAATTCACATCGAGGCCTTCAGCATGGGGTGAAGACTCTCAACTTACTTCAAATTCAATTTGGTCCATACCTTTAGCATTGGTAGAATGCCATGCATGATGATTTTGTCTGACAGAGTTTCGCTCTTTTGGTAACATAGTCTTGAGCATTGGTAAAATGTTCAGACATACGTCATTGTATTGTATGAACTTCATATATTCAGAGAAAGCAGCCCATCTGTGCATTTTCGGAGATATTGAGAGACTTTTTATAAATGGTTCAGGTGAGACACTCAATCTATAAAGGTCTTCGAAATAATGTTCCTTGGAAAGAAATTGTAGGAACTTGGTGAAAACATAAACATATTCAATTCAAGATATTAGCAATTGTTCCTTTATTTTATTATTTTCATTTGACCTTTTAATAATTTATGGTAAAACAAATATTACAAATACATTGCAAATTTAAATGATGACGAAATTTGACTTTTGATATCATTGGAACCGTTATTATTTACTGTAACAGGATCATGCTGATTGTACGGAATAATCAAATTAAACAATTACTAAAATTTCAATACATACCTCTTATTTTACTAAAACCCATCTCAGTAACATAATACATGTAAACATGTTTAGTACCATATGTGCTACCAGTGCTATTCGATGATGAAACACATCCACGGAATCGATCACACCTAAAAAATCACAATTGTACAAATGTTTTTGAAAATTATGACATGATGAACATTAATTCTTATAGTTAAGTCGCGTTTCATCATGTGATACATCATACGATGTTAACATGTATGTATAATTATACTACTCCATTAATTGACATGATCGGACAAGGCACGAATGATTGCGTAGTATGTAGTATTACTTATTTCACATTGTCTAACTCATAATCTGAGGGTTTTGGTGAACTAATAACCTACATTGTATGTGAATCCCATTTTAGAGCATGACTTTGTTGGTAAGTCATCTAAACTACGCTTGGTCATGCTAGAGTTAACACACGATTATCTTTTAAAAAATTAATTTCAACCAGTTTGTATACCTTGAGATTGCAAGTATACAATGAAACATATTTTAATTGAATATATAGACTTTTCTGATATCCGGAAAAACTATTTTAATGTAAACATTATGCATGATTTATTTGATAATTTTCCAGTCGAAATAATTGTTTCATTTTTAAAAGAAATTGGAATATATTCCAAAATTTGAATTTGTTGTATTAGTTTAATATGATTTTAAGTTGTTATTATGTTATCTTATTGATGAAATTTTATTTGTAAATAAGTAATTTCGCTTTAAACTAAAGTTTTAGTAAATTGAAAGACTTTTTGTCTGATTTAAAAAAGAAAACCGTCTTGTTATAATATTTAAAATAGCTCTCGCCGCGATATAGCCTTTTTGTGCTGATGCGGCGTAAAGCAATCACCAATCAATCACTCAATCTAAACTATGCACATACGTTAAAGTTAACTGAGCTTTATCGGTAATATTACGTAATTTCTATATATATATATATATATATATATATATACAAGTCTAAATTGAAAACAACGTTCAAACCTATGATTGCGTTGGATAAAAACCGCAAATTTTATACGTGTGCATGCAAAACAAATTTCTTGTAAGAGGGGTCTAAATACAGCACAAACAACATTTTCCAAAAGACCAAAAAAGTGAAAAAGTATATATATAGTGTTCCTAGTTTTGCCAACTGTTATTGAAATGGCGAAAGGTCCTTTTGGTTTAAACCTTAAACTTGAACAGTTATTTCATAAACAAATCATATAACGTCATCTTCGTTCTAACGATTATCTGAAAACTTCTTATGTCTCTTTGGTACACATTTTCCTTCGTATTGCCGCTATGTGATATATTTAAAAAAAATTATATGAACACGTATCCGTGCTTAAGACATGGGATACCTCCAGTGCAGTCTGTAAACAAGTGAATACTTGTGTCGTTGAGTTTGTGAATATTTCTCACCATTACCTTTCATCCTGATTGCATTCACATTTTTCAGCACATTTCAATCCGTATGCTTCCCCTATACATGGCGTGCACCACAACCCTGCTTTTGATGTGAATCCAATTTTACACGCTGAAATAAGTTAACTACATGGTATTGAAAGTATAAAAAAAGGTGCGTTTAGACAGTTCTTCCATAATTAAATTTTCAATAACATTTATTTTTGCACTTTGAAATTTCTTTGATAAGTTAATAGTCCAGTACTATTTCATAGTAAATGTATGCGTTGACTGGTTTTGTAACGGCATTTTAAGTATGTTTAGTGCATTTTCTGACATGATCTTTATTCCACTGTCTCACTAATACCCTTTTTTTGTTTCAGTGATGAAGACTAAAACGGGGAACTTTGATTAAAAAAATGAAGATTTTAGTTAACTTTATTAATCAATACGAGTTTTACTAAATTTTTAAGGCAGTTCAGTACCCTGTAGCTGTTCAAAATTGCATTGGTCAATGAACTGTTTGAAATCCTCATTGAGTAGATATGTCTCAATTAAGGAAAATGGTACATGGTATACCAATTCCTACAAAGACAGGAAGTTTCAAAAAAGGGAATAGCGACACTTTTATATGAAGAACCCGAAAATAACGAGAAAAGTATTAAAAGGATAATTTCATACAATAAACAATTCTCTACAAGTGAAACTTTTACAGTTGATTTAAGAAACGGGATGACAAACTATATTCAAAATCATGTGTCATTCTATGTTGTGATGTTACACTATTGTTTCAGATAAGGGTGAAGGTTTGGTACCATTAAAACGTTTAAATCCGCTGCAATTGTTTGCACCTGTCCTAAGTCAGGAATCTGATGTTCAGTAGTTGTCGTTTGTTGGTGTTGTTCATGAGTGTTTCTCGTTTCTCGTTTTTTATATAGATTAGACCGTTGGTTTTCCTGTTTGAATGGTTTTACACTAGTAATTTTGGGGGCCCTTTATAGCTTGCTGTTCGGTATGAGCCAAGGCTCCGTGTTGAAGACCGTACTTTGACCTATAATCATGAAAATGGTTTACGTTTATAAATTTTGACTTGAATGGAGAGTTGTCTCATTGGCACTCATACCACATCTTCTTATATCTATTCAAAGGTCGAAAACAAACTGACAAAAAAAAACGAAAAAAAGACAAACAACAGTAGACAATGCAATGGCAAAAAATAAAGAAAAACGAAAAAAAGACAAACAACAGTAGTACTGTACACAAAACACAACATATATAATAGCTAAATTTGATACTACATATATCTGAAGTGTTAGGTTTTTAAAGAAAAATATTCAAATGATCAAGCTATTCCACCTTCTTACATATATCCGGTTCAGATTGAATTTTTGAGCTAGCATATTCACAATGCGATGTAGTACAAGGCGGGGTCACATTCTGAATCGTATCACATTTAGTTAAATTTGTATGTTCGTCCTCACTAAATTTTGGAGATCAATGACCAGTAGATACCCTTTTCAGTCATACCAATTCAGATATTCAAGTTTATATATTTGAAGTGTGTATGAAAAAAACAACATAAAGTTACAGATAATGTCAAGTGTTTCCATTGTGATTTTATTTCAAATGCGGAAACTTTCATCATGTTTTTTTTTTTAATTTCAAGTTCTGATACAATTATTATGTTTGCTTAAAAATAGATGACCTTGCTAACATAAAAACATGTTTAGAGCTAACAGAAAGAGAGAGATTAGAATGGGATCGAAAATAATAAGAGAAAAAATACTCACATTTAAAAAAAAAATAAAACATAAAAAAAAAAAAATGCAAACAAGTAGAGGGATCTGTAGAAAAAAAAATGCTCTTCTTATTGTCTACCGATCAATTATAAGAATGTCAATAAACATTTCAAATTTTTTTTTATAGTTTTGCAATACGAGCATATCTCTTAATCTAAAAAACACACTGTTTTGCAGCGTTTGCATCAAACAGAAGTATATAGTTTTAATCAGTAGTACAGACAAGCACACACAAGTGTTCATCAATAATGTACTGCTAGGTACTGGGCTTATATATTTTACACAAAATACGCGTCTGCTGTTTTTTCAAAATTCATATTTAAATGGGGTAAACTATGTCTGTTTAAGTCTACATGTTTTTTTTAAGATTCTTTAATTTTTCGTTAGGCACTCACCTTGACATATTTCAGTTCCTTTCATTTCATAGTTATCACAACAAAAGGTCTTTTTGAAATAAAATGAACGACCGTTAGTAGAGGCACTGCAAAGTAAAAGTTCATTTATCAAATGCTTATAAAACTTAATACTATGATTGATTTAAAGTACATGTAACAGTTGTTTGCTTAACGTCCAATGGCAAATAGTTCATGCATTTGCAGGACCAGAATAAATCTTTTGGTTTAATATTAAGATATAAAATATATTATACTGTGATTATCGTTAATTTGATGTAGGTTCTGATTAAACCATGCAACATACATTTTATTTCCAACTATTTTATTAATTCATATAACCAAATAACGGCTAGTTTGGAGAGACATACATTTTGTACAACTAATGTTAATAAATAAGTCCCCAAACTATACAGGTAATACTATGCAAAAAAATAATCCCCCTAAGCTAGGCAGTTTGGTTCAGATATTAGTCTGTTGAATGTGTTTTCAATTTCATTTTTATTGCACTTAGTAGCTGTTGGTACTTAGTACAGTTTGGTATACATTTTGATAGATTTTACCTTTCAAGTCGACTGCAGACCCCTTCTGTTCCGCCATGATTTACAGGAAGGTAAAGAAGGTAGATGAACAATATACTATACACATCCATCATTTTTAAATGATTGCAGAAATGAATAAATTTTTAATTTTATTTGCGGATCTACACAATGTCATTGAATCAAAAACACCAGGAAGTTAAAATTAGGACGTTAATAATTTTACGGAAACTAATATACAGTTGAAGTGCCTATTGATTAACTATCTATAGCTGATAAATGGTGATTAATCTACGGAAGCCCATTTAGGACCTCACAAAAATATATTTGAATTCGAAATCACGAATTGAAGAATTCGTCATACATATAACAGATTAAATTCGTGATAAAGAATTTCCGGAATTAGTGATAACAGTTTTTGTAATTCGTAATTACGAATTAAATTCGCTGTGACAATTTTTTGTAAATCGAGATAACGGATTACAATCGTAATAACGAATTTTATAAATCATGATAACGAATTGTAATAATCGTTATAACGGATTGAATTCGTTAGCAAGAATTCGTAGAAATAGTTATTACATTTTTTGGTAATTCGTGGTAACGGATTAAAATCGTAATAATGAATTTTATAAATAGTTATAACGGATTAAATTTGTTATCACAAATTATACAATTTGTTATAACGATTTTAAAGCCGTTATCACGAATTACAATAACCTGTGATAACGAATCTAATCAGTAATCACTAATTTAATCCGTAATTACGAATTATAAAATTCGTTATCACGTTATTAATCCGTTATCACGAATAATAATTACAAAAAATTGTGATAACAAATTTAATCCGTTATTACGAATTTACAAACTGTTATTACTAATTCCATAAATTCGTGATAACGAATCTAATCTATGATAACGAATTATACAATTCGTGATAACGATTTTAATTAGTAATATCGAATTCAAATCATATTTTTGGGAAGTCCAAAATAGGCTTCCGTTTTAATCACCGACAATTTACCGTTTCAGAATCGAATGCATTCTCTGTAATGTTTTCGAAAACGTACAACACGTTGTGATTAGTAAACAATAAGTATTCAACCATTCAACAAATTGCAAGAGGTTATTTTCGTTTTAGTGTACAAGCAATGAAACTACACACAATCTGTTTATCTCTGAAACGACATTTTCTCGTGTAGGCTATGTTTTAAGGCTTCTGCTTAAAAGCGACGTGCACAATAGATAAGTGTATGTGCTAGCTTACACCGTAACTATCCGAAAGACTTGACTTCGCCTTCCGGACACGTTACATAATCCGACAAAATTTTGATATTTCATTTTTTAAAGAAAAACAGTGAACAAACTTTTTATTGTGTCTATATAAAAAAAAGAAGATGTGGTATGATTGCCAATGAGACAACTCTTCATCAGACCAAATGACATAGAAGTTAACAACTATAAGTCACAGTACGACAACCTCCAACAATCTTCAGTCACGGTCTTCAACAAAGATCAAAACTAATACCGCATAGTACGCTGAAGAAGGTCCCGAAATAACAAATGGAAAACAATGCAAAGGAGAAAACTAACGGACTGATTTATGTAAAATGTAGTAAACGAAAAACAAATATGATATACAACAACAAACGACAACCACTGAATTACAGGCTTCTGTCTTGGACATGCATATTCAGAATGTGGCGGGTTAAACACCTTTGCTAGTGCCAACCCCCCCCCCCCCCCCCCCCCCCCACCCTGGACAGTGGTGTAACAGTACGACATAAGAATAAACTATAAAAATCAGTTGAAAAGGACTGAACTCATCAGATCGATACAAAGAACATAAAGACACTACCAAAAAACACAAAAGATTCAAAGTACAGATCTGAGAGTAATCGCAGTTATTGAAAGCTTGTTCAAAGCCAATAACAACTAACAAAAACATCATGTGTCTAAGACTAAAATATCAATCAGTACACATCCGAAATCTAAGTGAGTTTATTTGATTTAGAGTAGAGACGTCATTAACAGTCAGAGAAAACATGATATTGTGCTTTTCCAAAATAAATATAGGTATCGACAGATTGAAGAACCGTGAATTACATATGTGTATGACAATTATTTTTAGTTTGGTTTTAATATACTGATGACAAAATCAATATTTACACCAAAAAAGCTATAATCAAAGATCTAATGGTTATGCATTGACCCTGCTTCTACAAAATTATTTAAAATGTTGCGTTTGTGTAAATGCAGCCAAGGTGTTGGCTTTTAATGTATTATGTACAAGCTTATTTGACGTTCACTTTACAAAAAAAATATTTACAACGATTAAGAATATGTCACCCTACCTGAGCACGCTATATATATATATATTCTGACTTAAACAACCAGTCTTTGTTTTATTCATGAACACTATGTACTTGGCAACAAAGCTGCAAATACCAGTTATACTAATCACTTAAACGTAATTAGAATTTGAGCCTATGCACGATATCCTGCCAGGGGCGTAGCTAGGCCAAAATGATGTGTACTCAATGCCGGGGAAGGGAAGGGGTCTGGGGGCGCTAAAGACCTCCAGAAGTTTTGGGGTAAATGGTGCAAAATCCTGCATTCTCGCGATTTCCTGGGACTTAAAATGACTTGACTGAAATCTTATTTTCATGAGTAACAAGTCAACTTTTGAAAATAACTTAAATTTGAAAAGAATATTAATTAGAGAAAAACAAACTTCTAATGTGTAGTCGGTTGAGCTTGATTAGATATTAAGTACAATAAAAATATATAGTGCAAACATAATATATTTTAATGGTTACCTAATCAGTCTCAACCCACTGTACGTTAAAAAATCAAAATTTGTAAGCCAACAGCGTGCAACTTAAAAGGTAATTTTTTATTGAGAAAATACATAAAAAATAGAATCACCGGCATACATGCAAATACGTTTAGTATATTAAAACTTCCGGGGTATACATCCTTGTTTATAACATCATAGGTTGGAAACCTTTAACAGGCCAATATACATATATATAATTCGTCTAAACAACAGACCAACAATGTTAGATCTGTAAATTTGCGGAAGCAAATATTTTGTTCTTCCCTGGCCGGAATTCGAACTCATGCTACTCGGAGATATCGTGGCACCAAATCGCCTTGCACTATGCTAGACCACTCGACCACCTAGGCTCTATAGATAATAAAGCTTTCGGTGGCCGGTTGTTACCTTTCTTCGTCAGTTTTTATCTAGCGTTGTAACACAGTACATATATAAGGCATGAAGATGGAATTGTTACAGATCAGCTGAATTATCTATTGTAAAGGATCCTACAAATAAATGTAAGATGCATATATATATATAAATACGTTTGAAGTCCCGAAATCTACAAGGAAAAGCATCAAATTATTTCCGATTTCTTTTTATTAACTTCCAAAACGAGTTTTTTTATTTTTACCAAGCAAGGAATTTAAAACAAGCATATTAAATCTTGAAGGATGGAAAATATGCACTTTTTATCTCGAGGCACCGTGACGTATTAAATTTGGGGAACACGTTGAATGATGCACCCGTCTTCCTAGACCGAACGTAAAATAAAATAGTAAAAACACGTTGATCGTCAAATTAAAAAAAACGGCGAAGACGTTGCACGAAAATTACGATGCTGATTCCGTAAATGAAAAGAGTAGGCTAGTTTCCGGAACGGAATATAGCTACAAAGTGACTATTAACATATTTGTATAATACATTTTAGTTTATTTTATTACTTTAGTTTGATTTTTACTAGATTTGCCATATTTTTATTTTTGTAAAATTTTCGATGTGTACGCAACTGCGTTTTTGCGTACGGGTTGCTACGCGCCTGCCTGCACTGAACAGAAAAAGGCTATTAGGGTAACAACAATGCGGTCGATGTCTTGAGATCGTATGCTATTTTTGATTTAAGGTGGTACCTAACACTACAGGGAGATAACTCTGTAAAAATCAGCTAAACGTTTTAGTTACGTTGTATTGTTAAGGAAATATTAAGCTTCTCAATGATCAAAATTAGTGTTTGTCAAACTGCTATATAACCAAAGAAATTTTTCTGATAAAGTGGTTGGTTCAAATTTTTTGAAATTTTGATATTTTTGTCAAAGGGTCAAAGTAAACATTTTATCAAAATTTTATAAAAATTAAACGAGCCAAATTAATATTAGTCAAGGTGTTGGGTACCACCTTAAATATATGCAAGTAGTGTTTTCGATTGTTCGGGATGTACTACACACGTAACTAGAGACGTTTGGGAGACTAACTAATATGCTCCTACCACGGAAGAGACCCCAGCAGAATCAATCGCCAGGTTTCATACAATAATGCAGTGTCCATTTTTTTCTTTCTATTCAACCACAATGCTCCATATATTTCACATGGCAATAAAAATTCGTCTCCCCTATTGTGTTCCATACACCTCCCGATTCATCTAATTTTATTTCACACTAGAACATACCCGCGACATCGCGGGTCCGTTACTGAAGTAAAGTACCTTCGCCTTATTTTCTGCCTGAATTTTTAGTATTCGTATTGTCATTTGATAAAGTCATGTTGCATGATTATAAGGTCACAGTTTTCTCTGCTTTCAAAATCTTTCTGTTTGAATCCATCCTGGTTTTCTTACTACAACCGGAAACTACTTGTAGATATATTTCTTAGGTGAATGATTGAATTTAGTAGTGTCAATCCCTTTATAATGACGAAGTTCAGGTGTGATTATGACCCATGTATATAGCAAATCCCAAATACACCGTTTGGTGGTGCGCCCGCCAAAGGCGGAACGTACAGATTAGGTAACAGGTAACAGGTACTATTGGTATCGATATCGGATTCGACCCGGAACTTGTTAATTATTGGTAATATTAATTATGTGGAAAACAAAAGGGCCTGGAATGGTGTAATTTTTAATCAACACCATTGTCTTATATTAGTTGAAATCTTTGTTTCGTCGATTTTACGTCATGCCGGCTAACACATTGGACCTCGTTATTTTAGTAGTATAGATAGTTAATTTTGTTTTAATCACCTCGACAAAGCCGTATCGTGTTAATGAGATGTAAAACATTAAGAATATAAAAACTACTACAATGCATCTCCAAATACGCAGAAATTATTTAACTCATGTTTTAGGCACGGTAAACCACACATACACTGACATGAAATAAAAATCGCAGGTGCACAAATTCATATCTTGTTAAATTAAAGGAGAATAGTCTTTGGGGTAAACGTCAATTAACAACACAAAACAGAAAAAAAAACAAAAACAAAAGCAAAAACAGACAAAAAGACAAAACAAAATAATACAAAAAAAAAGATAAAATAAAAAAAGTGGGAGAATCTGTGTAAATTCTAGACAAACTTCTATACTCAATGCAATGTGAACAATTGAAGATGTGAAATAAAGATCGCTGAAACATTACCCAACAGCATAAATAAAGAAAATGAATATTTAGACATCACAACATGGCTCATTTTAAGTACAAATCTACGTTTTCAAAATAGCTTTCATCAGAAGTCTATATTTTGATAGACCATGACTTCTGATTGTATAAGGGTGGGGGTCGATTGCAGATTTGTTCACAATTTTATTTTAACCGCGAAAATCGATTTATTCTAACGACGAAATATCATTTCTACCCAACTGCCTGCTAATAAAGAATTTAAACGACAGTGATAGAATATCACTCAAAGTACATCTTGTCATTTCTAGAGATGCATGTTGTTAAAATCGTTGCAAATTTGCAAAGAAAGGGTATCGGTCAAGAAAGTAATAATTTCGATCACTACAAGGACAAAAGAATGACAAAAGGAGCCATTCAAATTGATGAATATGACTATACATAACTTTTTAAGGGGATTTATTATATTCTTGAGTTGTGATAAAGATATATTCTGAAACATTTGCTATCGATAGATAGACAAAGGAATTGTCAGTGTATTGCTACTAGTCTTGTATTCAAATCGAAGTTAACTTTTTTGTTTTGCATACATTTAAAAACATCTTTATTACAATTTGAGAAGGCAACTGTCGGTGACCGCATTTCAATGCACTACTGAATGTTTAAAGTTTGGTTTGTTTATTGTGATTAAGTTGTGTAATTTTATAGGAGAACGCGTCACGTATGAGCAAATTCATTGAAAATGTTAGGTTTTTGTTGTTATTAATACACATCGAAGGACATATATCTTAAAGGTATGTTTTTTTTCCGACACATGTTTGTTTTTCATGAAAGCTTGCATATTTTACAGCATTAATTATGCACAGTCAAAATTTAATGCTCATGCAATCTTTCCTTACAAAAATGATCTAACCGTTATTTTGTTATTAAAGATATATCAAACTCAAAATTACTCCGCGTCTAGACAATTTAAAACTAAATTTAAGTAAATAACAATTGACGAAATTCCTCGTAGAATTTGTATTGGCGCAAGTACAAAATTATTAATCTGGCGTTAATAGATATAGGAAGATGTGGTATGAGTGCCAATGAGACAACTCTCCATCCAAGTTTCAATTTATAAAAGTAAACCATTATAGGTCAAGGTACGGCCTTCAACACGGAGCATTAATACCTAGATGTATGATGAACATGCTTATCACTATAATTCATTTGCGAAATGTTTAAGCTTTTGCACAGATCTAACATAAACCTTACAAAAATACCGCAACAGCCATTTTTACTCTCAACATTTTCAAAATAAAAAACACACTTTTTTAACCTGTATATGCCTAACCGTAGTTTTAAAATAATTTTCCAAATAAGCAAAGGAGAATGCCAGAAACCTCCTCAATGAAATGTTAATGTAAAAGGTACATCTATTTAGCGTGACACCTGCTTCTGATGTAATCCTCTACAGGTATCAAACTGAAGTTAAAGAAGCTGAAAACCTAAAAAGTCTCACATCATAAAAACAACAGACACACTCTTGTAAACCGCAGTCGTAAAGTGAAAATATGAAATAAATATTACTTATAATTTATTATTTGTTTACGTTCATTGAGGCGGGTGGTACCCTCGGATAAGACATTATGCAGAGCGATCTTCTTCCCCCTTTTGTGTAAAATGTATTACAATATTCTAAAATTGATATCGGCTCATTGACTTATTTCACATTTTTTGTTCATTTTACTTTTTAACATAGAAATGAAAACATAGAGCTTTCTGTACACATCTATAATGTTGGTTATTTTAAATTTCATAAATTTAATGGCTATATATAATAAGTTGTTTGGGTTCCAGTAGGAAAGATTATTATTTTGATTAAAACAATCGGTTTATTTATTTCTTTTGTTTTAAATTTATGGTGTTTTGCTTTCTGTTTTGTTTTAAATTATGCATGACAAACTTAAAAGGACCTAGACACTTGACTCGATTGAACGATTTTGAATAACGGCTAGATATTTCACTGTCAGCTGAAATTAACTTTTCAATATACGTAAATGATGTTTTGAATTTAAAAAAGTAGTAAAACGTGCAGATTTTTTTTAGAATTAGTCATTCCATTGAGACAGTTAAAGGAGGTGGTCAATTAAAAAAATCAAATTGATATTGAAATGAAAGATAAACGTGAAATATTACAAAAAAAGCGGGGGAGGGGGGTGTTGAGCTCTCACAAACATGGTAAATCCGCCAAATTCTGTATGTGCTTGTCGTTTGTTCATGTTTGTGATATTTGTTTTTTTAACTTGTTTTGTTAGAAATTAGACCTTTAGTTTTCTCATTTGAATTGTTTCATATTTTCCATTTCGGGGCTTTTTTTGGCTGACTATACGGTATTGGTTTTCCTCATTGTTGAAGACCGTACGCTTGCCTAACTATAATTGCTTACATCCACTTTATTTGAACTTTGGAAAAAAGGGGGAGGGTTGTTTTCTCATTGGCAAGAATACCACATCTCCTTATTTTTATATAGAAATGATTCTTTAGATGAATTCTTCTAAAACTATGCTTACAAATGTATATGTTAACTTCTTTATGTTAGCAAGTAATTACATTATAACTAACCTAAGGGTAATTTGAAGACTATTATTTTAATTAACAGATCATCACCGAAAGCTTATATTCTTAGCTCTGCTTCGATTTTTTAGAGACCTGAAAGTATATCTGAATAGATAATATACCATGACAACGTGACGGCTTCATGCTTACATGTGCATGTATTAGACCTCAGAGAAAATGAAGAGTTCAAAAGACATTTTCTTCAAAGTAAGTGTGTTTTGTTTTATTTTTCGGTTGATGGCAGTCCTTTATGAACCATCTGGAAACTAACATCCTGGAACGTAACATCAGAAAAAAACTTTCCATATACAGTATAGAATTTTTTTTTTCACGCGTGAAAAATTTCCTGAAAGAGAAAGAAATGCATCAAAATTAAATCTGATGAACTGATGTTTCAAAACCTTAGCGATCTTGCTTTCTATACGAAAATTCTTTTCCTATTCCATGATCTTAAGAACAAAAATCTTAATAATCAGGGTTGATATGCATAAAACCACTTAGGTTAAGATTTGTTCCGAACTGACGGATTTTTCTACATGTCCTACGATAAATTAGTACTTCGATTGGATATCTTAACTTAAGTGGTTTTATGCATATCAGCCCAGTCTATTAAAATGTTGCAGGAATATAATGTATTAAAGGTCAATTATAAACAGTATCTCCTAGTTCGTTCAAGACAAATTGTTTCAAGCTTTAAAGGAAACATGACTTCAAAGGATTTCTCACTTCATGCTGATCGCATGAGTATGTCGCGATATAATAATTATGAATTGAAGTGGGTATACTTCAATATGACAGCAATTCACCTACAAAGTCCCCTTTTATCTCTCCTATAATATAAATTTTGACATATTTGGTAATGTGGATTTTTATCCTGCAGAAATTAACAAACTTGGAGGAGACAAGACTTACGTAGTATAATAGAAAAACAAAGGATATGGGGTATCCATCCATGACACAAAATCAGTACATGCACAGCAAAAACACACAAAAAGCAAACGAACAGCGCTTGTGTTGCTGTTCTTCATCTAAAAGTCACAATGAGGCCTTCGACACGGAGCAAAAAAAAAGTATAAGACGGTCCCTAGCACCGGCTTAAGCGGAGTTCTTTGCAAAATAACCAATTTATTGATAAACAATTGAGAGCACTTAAAGTAAAAAAGGCGATCTCGTGTTCTTAATTCATGTGTAAATTTCATAACTTCCTACCAAGAAAATGCTTTTTTTATCAAATACTACCGTAACTTTAATAAGCCTTATTTTGTTATGTTTAAGGTGTACTTGCTGACAGCAACTATATATTGCATGTCTTCCTTTGAACTGACTTGCCCGGACACATCGCAATGGAATTTTTTGTCACAGAGTCGATGTTCCAATAAACATGACAACCCACACTACTATTGTTTGTATGATGCCAACAACCTGGAATTTATAGAGAAATGCAGAAAGAAAACTGATTTTCAAAGACCAGGTAAATTAACTAACTAAGATTGGTATTTTAATATCAGAAACCTTTGACATATATATTTATAAAAGTAAGAATATATGGTATGATTGCCATAAGACAACTCTCGATCCACAACGTACTAAATGACGTAAAAGTTAGCAACTATAGGTCGCGGCACGACCTTCAATAATGAGAAAAACCCATACCGCATAGCAAGTTATATTACATAATGCATTAGTAGTTAGTGCGGCTTTTTTTTATCGATCCATTTTGTTATTCTGAGTCGTCTGTCTATGTGCATGTGGTATATCAACAAAATACTCACAAAGATAATCATCTATAATGTATAAGAAGATACATAATATACTTTCACTTTTACAAACGAGTTCGTTACTTGATTCAGTTAATATGTTACTTAATATAAGACTGATAAAAGAAAGTTTTTTTCCTCCTTTTTTGCATCGTCTGGTGTTATAAAAATAAAATACGATTATAAAAAATATAAAAAAAATTGTAAATGTATTATAGACACAATTGCCAAATATGCAAGTACTCTATTTTGCACATTTATATAGTTGGTTTGCCCAAACTTGTGAAAATGCACTGGTCATTTATTGCTTTGGGGAAACTTATTATCAACAAATTATGTAATACAATGGCGAAACAATGTTTTTGTGTACTTTTGAATTTAAATTTTAATTAGCATTAAGCCATTGTGTTGTCTGTTTGCCTACGATTTCCTATTTTCATATCGTTATATGTGCTCCAAAAAAATTTTCGACATATTTTCCATTGACGGTTTGATTTTTAAAGTTTCTAAAGAAAACACATGTCTTATTTGACTCTGAATATAATCCTGATTGTTGTGGCAATTTGTAATGAAGAAAATGATATGAAAAAAGGCCAAGAAGATAAACGATTAAATAGAGACATCTGGGAGAGCTCTAAGACTAGTATAGTAGAAATAACAATGCACTTAATGTATGGTTAAGGTATTCCGAACGAATCGTTGATACTTGAGATTTAACTTATAGTGTAGAAACAAACAAAAAATGACGTGTATAATAACTTCAACTACTGTCAAATAATAATGGTAGCTTTCGTTATTTTATTGTAGGGTACAAATTTGTGTTTAGAGGATCGCTGGATGCAATTGAATGCGCTACTGAATATTATCAGCCATTTAAATTTTGGACAAATGTTAGTAGTGAATGTCTTTTGCGGAAGTCAGAATGTGCAGAGGAGGGACAGATAACCATCGACAATGGTAATTCTACGTTTGATAGGATATGTCGTTGCGACTATACCCGAGGCTATACTTTTAACAAAACTCCAGTGCATAAATGTTTTTGTATGTCATCTGAAGAAGATTGTTCATGTCATAAAAGGCTGTGTCCAATCGACCATATTTTAACTCCAGGTATGACCAATTTTGAATTATATATTTTATGTGTTGAAAACATTTATGGTACCACCATTGTTCTTACTTCACCTTTCAAAGCGCAGGCGATGTACGCAGGAAGAAGCAATGTTAATATCTCAATCAAGAAATATCAATTGTATTAAACCCAATCAGTAGGTTTTGGTTACAACATAACCATGGTCAATTAATTTTTGATTTTTCAATTAAATTCATTTCAAACCTGTTCGTGCATTTTTCATTGTTATTCAAAGCAAAATAATTATCTAAGATACCTGGGACGATATCACTACACAAAAGATCTCTTTTGTTTACTTATTGTACCTCGAACTTATTAACCCGGTGTAGGTCTTTTAGTTTTTTTTACTAAAAGTCAATCGGGCAACACTAATAAGACACGCCCTCTTAACATCGGGGGTCCAACATAGGATCGGGTAAAAAAATGAAATACCATTATGTACAATTTCAGAGAATCAAAGTGCTTTTGGTTGATTTAATATCTCCGGTCAATAATCAAACGGTATTTGAGTTGAATTACAAACATGTCCGAGAAACCGGGAAATGCAGGCTGCAAAAGGAATTTATTTATAAAATAAGTCCATATCTCATTTACTTACAGTGGCCATTATTGATTGTGAATTCATATCGTTTCGTTTTTGGCATTTGTCTACCGGAGAAAAAAAATGGGGAGGGCTCAAAACTTCACTTACGATTTTGATCGTGGTTCAACTTTATCCTATTACGGCATACGTTTTACCTCTAGTCAACGCTCCATCTTATTAAAGTGATGCTCTAAAATTGTTATAATTTGCTTGAGTTTGATCCACTTTACATCTCGTCGTAAATATGAATGACATATTTGCCACTGGACATCAAGGGAGCAATTTATTAATCAGCACCATTAAGTGATGTACAATCATTAGTCTTCAGTTGATAGTTATCTCAGGTAGTTTACCAATATTTATAAATTTAATTTTCAAGCGTTAATTTCAGCATTTCTTTCCTTATTTTTCTCTTTGCATTTAATCTTTTTGAACATAAAATAACGTAGTCCACATAAGGGGTTACATTTTATCCTATCCAACCATACTAGGAGGAGGGGAAAAACAGAAGAAAAACATCTGCATTGAGTGGTAATAAATCATAAACGTACAAAGACGGCAGTCACTAAAGTGAACCGATCTAGTTCTAATCGATCTCAATGTCCTAGTGTGAACGGGGTCTAAGGGACAAAAGGAGTAGGTCCGGTAAGGGCCGATTTTGGCCTCAAATTTCAGGTTCATATGACGAAGGATTTTGGACACTTTTTAAACACTAAAGTGTCTATTTCAGTTGATTCTATTAGTTTATGTGAAAGATTTTTACTGATTTACTCATTAAAAACGCTCCGATTCAAGCTTAAATATGAAAAATATATCAGATATGCCATAAATGTCACTTTTCAGATGGTTTTTGTCTAAAATGAAAGTGGCCGCATCCGTGTTCATCCTCAAACTTTATATATGTTATATTATGTATTATCATCAAATACAACTTACATTTCAATATTAAGAATGAACACAAATGCGGCCTCTTTCATTTTAGACGGAAACCGTTTAAAATTTAACTGAAATGCTAAAATTGTGAAGATTTCAGTAATTTAGCCTGACTAAAGGATGCTAGTATCCGATATATGTACATTGTATTGTCAAAAACAGCCCATATTTATGCAGTAGAAGCATTCTTCTTACCAATAAATAACTTAAAGTTTAGATTTTTACAATTTTGTAAAACTGCTATATTTTGGGGCCAAAAAGGGGTCTTACTGGACCTACTCCTTTGCTGTTTCAATTTTTTTTCTATATCTGGTATAATAGTTGTTATAAAAGCAGCCGAACAGCCAAACTGACACACCCCTTTAGCAAGGGTATACTGTCGGACTGGAGAGATCCAGAGATGTCAATATTTCTATACCCAAGTCAAGCCTTTGGATTTGAATAAAATGAGATAAAGGTATACATTAATGTGGCAGCTACCCAACGACACAGACAAATCAAAATACTAAGAGTCAACTTGGTCTTTTGTTATAGAAAGATGCGTATACAGAATAAGCTCAAAACTGACCCATGACTAAAAATTACGGAGTTGATTTAACAATATCTATTACAACAGGGACATTTGATTTAATATTATTTAACGTTAAAGATATCCTGACAAGCACAAGTGTTTGGTTGAAAAACATCACCTGCCATTTTTTTTTTTAATTTCGACCGGTGGAAGTTAAAGCCAGGTGTAATATAAACCAGTAGAAGAAAAACACTTCATTGTATAGAATAACGGTAAAATAAATGATGATAATGAATGACGTCAAGTGGAATATTATACAATTACTGTCTTTTGATGAGGTAAATATGTATAGATTATTACATGGCATTTTTCATATCAGACCCTTTATCGGCCCTAGGTCATGATATCAGCCCAAGAGCCGCAGGCCGATAAAGGGTCTGATATGATAAATAACATGTAATTATCTTTTTATCATATACTTCAACAGAAGAAATACAGACAAAAACTATTAATTAAAATTATGTCTTTCCATGAATTTTTAGATAATAATTTACAGACAACCAAATACAAATTTCTTAACTTTAATTGTTTTTATTGATATTACAAGCATTTTATTTATCTTGTCACAACAATTATCATGTTCTTAGTTTGAAATTTGCTCCTCAACCATTTTGTGAAAAGTCTTAAATCACTTGCGGTTTTCCGCACTGTGTTGTCGTTTTCGAACAAATTTCCGGAAATGCACGAAGTTGCATGTGATAAACGTCACGGAAATTAACGGAAAGGTATGTGATAACATTCCGGAAGCAGTCAATAACGGTTCCTTTGTCAGCCCGCTGAGGAAATTCTTAGGAATCTGATCAATAAACCTAGTAATCCTTTCATAGCCTTTTAATATTTCTAAATGTTATTGAACTGTACAATTTTAGTAATATTTTATACAAGTATATGATAAGTGGTTTTATTGACTTTTGAAAAACTGATATTCACTGAGGCCAACGGCCAAAGTGAATGTCACTAGGTTTTTCAAAAGTCAATTAAACCACATATTTACCGAAACAAAAGACAGTAATTGTTTTATTCCATGTTCCGAAAGAGAAAAATATGTATTTAATAACAGTTATTTATTAAAACCAATTGTACGTCAAACATTTTACCGTTATTATACACGTAAAAGCACGCGGCGTTTTCCGCGGTGAATATACTTTTTCAGCAGGGGAATATGCTTTTTTATTCAAAATCCAATTCATATAGAAAACCCTACTAAAATTCAATCAATATGGAATAATAAATGAATATTCAGGACAACTACATGTAAATATAATATGAGTATTAACCCTGCTTTGTACTAAATCGACACGCTGAGCCATTTTTGTATGCGTAAGTTCACACGAAGATATCATTTCGCAGGAAGAATAGTCACCCTACCCGGAAACATTTCTGGCTCCGAACTGACAAATTTGTGCTCTTACTTTCAAATACCGCTAGTTTAGCGTTGAAAGAGCAAATACATGTACCATTTTTAAGTCTTTGTTAGACCCGGTCGAGATTCGAACCATGACCTCCCGATCTCGTGGAGAACACACACACGAAACAAACAAGGAGAGCGATAGTACAGAATATCATACCAAAAACTAATGTACAGAGATAAATAAAATATAGTTTCACAAAAATTTCATATTTACTAAAGTGGTGCTAAAAGTATCAAACTGAAACTAGAAATGTTAAATTATTTTAGAAACTACACGTACATGTAAGTATGGACGACCGACTTCTGAATAGATTTCATGGATCAATGCTCTCTGCAAATTCACTATTTTTGCACCAATTATTTAAGGGGTTCGGATGTGGCCAGCTCTTGCAAGGCTAATTTCTGTCTTTATTCAATATATATAATTCTCAGTTTCCAGTGATATTCCAATTTTCACGTCCTACCTCAATGTCTACATCCTATTGCAAGATCTACCTATTGTATTTAACATCCAGTTGTTCTCGTCATGAACATGCATGAAATATTTGCCACTGGAGGTAAAGCAAACAACAATCAACCAACACCATAAATTATTCAATGTACATAGTACACGAAGACAAGATCTTGTAAAATGTTATTATGTAAAATTTCCATTTAAATTACTCAATGATAGTGCAAACTTTTTTTATGGTTTTGCAATTTACTACATAACTAAACACCTATACTTTTTTAATGTTTTTACTATGGTTCTTATCTACGATTTAATTGCGATTTATGATAAAGGTTTTGTCAGGCGATTATAAAACTTAGAAAGGTAAAAGGCTGTTTTCAAGTTGTTTGTTTATGCCACATTTAGATGTGAAAAGGGATTGACGGACGACTAAAATAAAAGTGTTTGTTTTCATATAATATATTGTATTTCAATTTAAGAATGATTACCAACCTTGCGAAAATATTCCATCTATACACGTTTTGATCGAGCCAGATATGATTGCTACTGAGACAACACTCCACAAAAGACCAAATGTTCCAGAAATTAACAACTTCTGTATAGGTCACCGTACGTCCTTCAACAATGAACAAAGCCCATACCGCAAAATCAAACCTAAATATACGATTTATTAGTTAATTGGACAACAGACAACACTAATTATTTTGCATTTGCATGAAACGTAGTGTAGGAAAATTATAGAATCAAAACCAAAATGAAGATTTACCTGAATATTGTGAAGGACCTTATGCATCTAGGTCTGTTCGATTAGAAGTTGTGAAACATGCTGATTAAATAGCTTATTGTTGGAAGGGTTTACTTACTGTTTTCATTTGGTGTCTTTACGAATCTATTTCATGATTACTGACAGATTAAAAACATCGAATATATATAACAAGAAGTGTTGGTGCAAAATATTCATTGGTCAGTTGTAAATGAGGTCTGCTTAGGTCTGTATAGGGTTTTTGATTTCCTCATTTATAAAATAGAAAATCGTTATATTGAAAATTTGGATTTCAAAAATATAAATTTACCCCTTAATTTCATAAAAGTATCTTATGGTCCTATGTAAATGCTAAAAAATTATAATAAACAAATAATTAAATGATGTAATGCCATTTAATCGGTCCGTTTTGAATGCAATTAGGTAACTGTTATTTGTCTATATCAGTCTGAGTACTGTTTCACTATCATTTGTCTTGAATATATTTAAACTCGACCAATTCAGGGGAATTATGTTTCTGCAAGTGTTTTTAGTGTACTTTTCTAATGTTTTTGGCGGTTTGTAAGTTAGTAAAAGATCAATGATTAAGTTAGTATTGACATTAAAAGACCTCTCACAAAAAGGAATGTTCAAATCACCTCGCCCTTCGGGCTCGGGGATCTCAACATCCCAATTTGTTCAGAGGTCTTTTAATAATATTAACTTATCATTGAGCTTTTACTATTACTTAATTAATGCATCCTTTATTTCATTTTATAAGATGTATCGATGATATAGTTACTCCGGCAAACTATGATTATCCGAATGAATACCAAGTCACCCTCTGCATCCATGAAGATTCAGCTGAACATAAGTTTTATTTAAACAATCATAAGGGCATCGCAAAGAAACTGCTACAACAATTACTAGCAACTCACGATACATTGATAGTTATTTATAGGATATAAAGTTGATAATTAAATAAACTGGTATAATTATGAAAACCATTCAAAGGGCAATAACCATACTGTCTGTCAGGTGTCCTTATAATTAAACAGCTGTAGGACAAAACCCCCAGAAATATATTCTCCGCTGAATGTTTTTGCTGCTGCTGTTGCTGATGATGATGATTATAACGAGTACATTTTGGTATCCTAGCCCAAAACAAAAGGGAGAGAGAGAAAGAACCGTGGTTTCTCATATTTCATACGATCATTACATTCATTACATTGATCGTTGTAGATTATGGATGCGTCAAACAAGAGGAATGGACTGGTCATTATGTCTGTCCTACAATTAAGATACCAATGTAAGTTTTGACATAATTCGTAATAATACATGTAAGATGATTGATGGTGTTATAAATCTTATTATTACAGTGTATTTTGAATTTTATTTTTTCACGGAAAAGGACATGTTTTGGTTACTTGAAACACTGGTGACATCTTTTTGAAGCTTTATGGTCAAAATGTATTTTTATAAAGTTATATGATTATGTTACTGGTGCATCCCTCCAGATATTAAAATAAAATCATTCCAACTAATTAACAAGACGGCTTTACTTGTTAAAATAACAGCAAAAGTATTGGTTATAGATTATAATTGTTAAAAAGTGATCGTTTTGGTACATGTAGACGCATGTGTCATAATTCCATTAATCGAAGCTTGCAGCCTTTCAAATAATTGTAGAAGACTTCAGAAACCTTTAGGATGAAAACAGCATTAAACGTAATATTTTTATAGTATATTAGCTATTTCTTATTGCCTTTTGAGATTTTACCTATTCCATATATTTTCCATTTTGATTTTAATACTGAGCATAATGTACAAAGCCACGTATTTCTCTGACTATTTATGACGTCTTTACACTAATAAAATTGAGAATGGAAATGGGGAATGTGTCAAAGAGACAACAACCCGACCATAGAACAGACAACAGCAGAAGGTCACCAACAGGTCTTCAATGCAGCGAGAAATTCCCGCACCCGGAGGCGTCCTTCAGCTGGCCCCTAAACAAATATATATACTAGTTCAGTGATAATGAACGCCATACTAAACTCCAAATTGTACACAAGAAACTAAAATTAAAAATAATACAAGACTGACAAAGGCTAGAGGCTCCTGACTTGGGACAGGCGCAAAAATGCGGCGGGGTTAAACATGGTTATGAGATCTCAACCCTCCCCCTATACCTCTAGCCAATGTAGAAAAGTAAACGCATAACAATACGCACATTAAAATTCAGTTCAAGAGAAGTCCGAGTCTGATGTCAGAAGATGTAACCAAAGAAAATAAACAAAATGACAATAATACATAAATAACAACAGTCTACTAGCAGTTAACTGACATGCCAGCTCCAGACTTCAATTAAACTGATTGAAAGATTATGTCTTCATCATATGAATATCAGGCACAATCCTTCCCGTTAGGGGTTTAGTATCATACCATCATAACATATATGAGAAGAACATAACCCGTGTCATGCCAACAACTGGTTTTTAAATAAATGTGTTTAGTGCCGATGCAAAGACCCTTGATGTTGGATGTATACTGATTTATTTTTTAGTCTTAGATGCATGATTTTTTATTAGTTGTTATTGACTTTGAACTACATTGTAGCTGTCAGTAACTTAGTTTAAACATATTTTATGTGCATAAACACAAATTGGATGAGACACAAGTCAAACAGACTTATGAAGTCTTCTATATTTAACATATTTAACAATACAATATATAAGAACATGCATACATTACATATTATTTCAACATTGGTATAAATTGGACAAAAAAATTAAGTGGCACAAAAGCTGAAGAGAGAGAGAGAGAGAAAAAAATAATAGAACACAAAAAACAAGGAAATAAATTAATAAAAAAAACAAAAAACAAATAAGCAAAAACAAAAAAAACAGCTGAACTTAAATGATGATGTGTGTGTGGTCATGTTTTACTATCTAAACAATAAGGAATCTTTTCGACCCTCTACTAAACTCAAACACGTGTTTAAAGATATTTTCATTTTGCTCCTGAGTAAGTAGACTACTACCCGAGGTTAATAGTTCTATATTTAATGGACATTTATTTGGGAGCCAGCTAAAATTTTCTAAAAGCTTACTTCGTATTTCTGAATATAATATACATTTAAAAAAGAAATGATGCGAATCTTCGCGATACACACCGCAGCGGCAAGAAGGATCAGAAATAATATTAACTCTAGACAGATCATAATTTAGGAAGGAAGCAGAACATCGAAGTTGAGTAAGTACAATGTTGAGTTTACGACTTCCAAACTCATATTGTTTCGGCACGTATATATTACTATTCGGATTTAAGTTTTTTAGTTTCGTTTTAAATTTTCCTATTGTATCTGCTTCACGGGTTGAAGTAGCAAGGTTATTCCATAGACGTATAGTTGATGGTATAAATGATTCATTAGTTAATGCAAGTCTGCAGAACGGAAGTATTATAATTATCGTTACCATTGCGTAGTGCATAAACAGTCATACTTTGGATTGTTGGTGGAATTAAATTTCTCAAATATTGTGGTACATTATTTTGTGTAATATTATAAAACATTTGAATTTTTCTTTTTTCTCTTCTTTTACTTGTCAGTAACTGCTAGTACTGTCAGATCTGTACTTAGTGTCTTTTTTGAGGACCCTGCCACTTCTGGTCTGTGTTTTTGTCAGATGTATTTCTTCTTTACATTTGTATCGATCTGATGAGTTAAGCCCTTTTCAACTGATTTTTTATAGTTTGTTCTTATGTTGTACTGTTAAACCACTGTCCCGTGTAAGAGGGAGGATTATCGCCTTCAAACTAGTTTAACCCCGTCACATTATCTATGTGCCTGTCCCAAGCCAGGAACCTGTAATTCAGTGGTTGTCGTTTGTTGCTGTATATCATACTTGTGTTTCGTTCATTATTTTGTACATAAATCAGGCGGTTACTTTTCTCGTTTGAATTGTTTTGCATTTGTTATTTCGGGGCCTCTTATAGCTGACTATGCGGTATGGGTTTTGCTCATTGTTGAAGGCCGTACGGTGACCTATAGTTGTTAGTTTTTAATTAGTCTCTTGTGGAGAGTTGTCTTATTGGCAATCATACCACATTTTCTTATTTTTATATTGCATGAAAATCATATTCATGTATACGAAATAAAAGCGTAATTGTCAACTACAGGTTCGCATTTATTCGACCTAATGTGTTTCGCGGAATTCCCACTTCTTCTGTAACCACTTGCCCGCCCTACTTACTAAACGCAGGGCAAGCCTAGGATAGAAAAGAAATAAAACAGTCGATACATTGACATATATTTTTTTTTTAGTTTTATGGAATTTTGTATAAATTTCTTTCTTAACCAAAAGTGCGTCCTTAACATCATGAAATATTTGCAACAAGACGCCAAACAAGCAACGATAAAAATTTTAAATAAAATTAACATGGTTTCAATTGCACGATTTTATTAAATATGTAACTATTGAGTTATGATACTTTCAATTGTATCTATAAAGGTTAAAAGAAGCTGAGTGCTCTACTAGACCAACACCAGTTCCAACGTTTGATACACCAGGTAAGGTCTTTCTCCTACCTTTCAAGAAACATCTGTTTATAATGAAAGTTTAATTCATTGATAGTTTGCTGTAACGGTTTTCACATGTCTAAACCGTAAGTGATTTAAATATGAATTTTAAAAAAATGGAATAATTATAAATGTTTGTTTTTCCAAGAAAACTTGATTAATGGAAGCGTTAGTTCAATTTCGATGGTATTGGTTTTAATAAATAAATGTAGTTAGAATCGGAGAATTTAAAATTTTGATGAAATTTTATTGTCTAGACAATATTCCATTTAAATGTTTCCAGTTTTATAAACACAAGATGATGTGGTATGATTGCCAATGAGACATCTTTCCACCACAGACCAAATAACGTAGAAGATTAGCAAGTATTAGTCACTGTACGATATTCAACAATGAGCAAAATCCATATCACATTGCAAGCTACGAAAGGCCCCGAAATTTCAAATGTAAATCATTTCAAACAGGAAAACTTACAACCAGATTTATGTACAAAAGACCAGATTTATGTACAAAACTTTAACCGAAAACAAATATAATATACAGCAACAAACGACAACCACTGAATTACAGGCTCCTGACTTGGGACAGGCACATATAGAATGTGACGGGGTTAAAGAAGTTTGAGGGCGCGCCAACCCTCCCCTATCTTGTATGGTTGTCACAAATGTTTCGTCGGAGTAGATTTACAAAAACAATAATGAACAAATAGGCACCTGCAATACATAGCGTATTTGCATGTAAGATATAATACAGATCTGTATCAAAATATCACTTTTATTATAAATAATTTGCTCTCAAAGCGCTTTTCTGGAATTATCTTTATCAGGGACGGTCGAATCTGAAATTTTGAAAGCTAAGGATGTATAAAAGCTTGAAATCTAAAGGAGCTGTGTGCCTAATGATGTCTTAAAAATAGTCAGTAGTATATAATTATATTCTTTGTAGCCAAGCTCAAACGAACAACATATAAATAGGATAAGTGTGCCTTCAGGTGTAGCAACCTTTACTATATTCATTACAATAAATGTTCTTCAAACTTAAATGTCACTTCACTATACAAAAACAAGCACTTTCAATCCAGGCACATAAAGTACATACTCAATCAAAATCTATCTACAATAGAGGAAAAATACATTTATTATACTTCACGTTAAAATGCCAGATTTTGATTGGCTGATACGAGAGAGACAATTTACTCAATCCCATGGCTGAGCGGGAGACAATTTTTTTGAATCTCACCCTCTAGTGAACCAATCAAAAATCGATAATTTAAAGGACAACGAATTAAATTTACATCAAATAATTAAAAACAATGCCAAAGGTTCTACGTTTTGGCACAGAACTTTTTCATTGACTGTCAAAATAAAAAATAAAAAAAATATCTTGCTTCACTTCTGTAGATGTTTCGAATACCTGTAACGTTGTTATGTACGTGACGTCATAGTTAAATACTTTGAATTTAAAATTCAACTGTAAAAAACAATAATGAAAGGACATTCAGTATAATAAATTAGATAACACATAGCTGAGAGGGTGATAGAGCAGATTGGTACCCCTCGAAAAAGCATTGTCAACGAAGCCTCGGTTGACAATGTTTTCTGGGGGTAACAATCTGCTCTATCACCCTCTCAGCTATGTGTTATTTATATAATATACCCACATAACCAATTATCAACAAACAAATGTTCGTGGGTCGTAAGAATAATTACGAAATGCTGCCAAATAAACGGATTTGCAAACTTCGAATAACTTCAATCTTTTCAACGAACTCTTAAAGAAATACTTAGTCATGCTTATCACCACTAATACCCGGAAAGGCCACATTACAGGTATATGTCATTCAATCATAACTTACTTAAACAGAAAACATGTGCTTAGTATAAACACAAAGTTTTAACACGTTTTTATAGCCGACTGGATGGTATGGGTTTTTTCTCATAATGATTGTTGAATGCCGTACGGTTGTATATATTGCATAAATTCACTTCATTTGAACTTTACTGGATAGTTGTTTCATTGGCAATCATACCACATATCCTTATTTTTATTATCATTTTGACCGTTACTACATCATGTGACCAATAACTTTAATAAAAAATATATCCCTTAAAATAGTTATATTACACCTTGTTTTATTTTTATATTAATTGACTAGTCAGATCTAAAGAAGTAAGTTCGGTAAGGGCCATATTTGGCCCCTATAATAAAGTTCAATGTGACAAGATAAAAAAAAATTTAAGTTGACTTAAAGACATGTGAGAAAGTTAAATAGAACTATTTGTGTCAAAGTTTTCTTCTTAAGCGTTGATTTTTACATCCCAAATAGGTCAAGATAAGAGATTTTGGCGATATTTGATAAAATCGGCCGGATTTCAACCAAATTTAGGACCAGGAAACATAGAAACAAACTAAATATTCAAGTTAGACATGTCAAATGTCTTTACAAACATTATTTCAAAAGATCTTTTTTGTCGACGTATGCGCTCTATATTTCCTGTCCAATAATCAATGGAAATTTACCCATTTTCATTGATTTTTTCGTGGAAAATCAAAATGAATACTATTTGTGACGTCATGAATAAAACGCAGGAACGTAAATTTTCAACAAAAAGGCTTATTTCCTATCTAGTCACTGTATTAGCTATGATTCATTGTGATATTGGTCAATAAATCCTAATTTGAAATTTCAGCTAAAAAAGGGGGCCTTTTTTGGGCCTTATCGAACCTACTCCTTTCTAAGTTTGAATTTACTAATGTCGAATAATTAAAGCTGTTAGTACACGTATACACGTTTTCTGTCATATTTCCCCCAAAAAGTAACCAGACTTTACTTTTGTATCTTTTAAGGACCTGATATATCCAATATATTTCGAGCTGAAGACCCAATACATATTGATGTGTGGTATACAGTTATTGTTGTAGCAGGTAAGAAAACGTCTATACAAAGATACCTACGTAAGAAATGTCTAATAAAATATATATATTTAAAGCTTAGAATTCTTTTTTTTTTTAAATTTTCAACCAAAGTGCTTTCAATTGGATTTTTAAGGATATATGCTTTTTATTCAAATAAGCACAAGGCTAAATGTACATGTACCTATATTCCTTGCAACACATGTTTTTACTGCCTGCTAACAATATCAAAACATTTAAAGAAAATCAAACACATAAAAAATAAGGGATCAATGTAAAAGAGGGGCGAAAGTTACTAAAGGGACATTCAAACTCATAAGTCGAATATAACTGACAAAGCCATGGCTTTTAAAAAATAGAAAAAGACAAACAGAAAAACAACAGTACACAAAACACAATATAGAAAACTAAAGACTGAGCAACACGAACCCCACCAACAACTGGGGGTGATCTCAGGTGTTCCGGAAGGGTAAGCAGATCCTGGCTCTACATGTGGCACCCTTCGTGTTGCTCATGTTAGTACAAACTCGGTTATAATCTTAATTCGGTAGGTCACATCGGGGAAAAGGGGTCGGGATATGTAGTTACGACATTTGGAACATATCCGCTATCATCTGTGAAACGGATATTCCATAACAGTCAACCAACTCGTGATGGCGTCCGTTAAATTTACGAAGAAATTGATTTCAACTTCACCACTTGGAACTGTTGGTTTAATAGCTTCCTTGTGAGCAGCAACTCTCTATCAATGAAATCATCATAGGAAATACAAGCCCTGGAATATTGTATCAACTGGGAGATATATACTCCGTATGCATGCGCTGCTAGAATGTTGCTACATAGAAATGGGAAGTTCACAATTGGGAAACCATCTCTTTTGTCGTTAAGTTTTGTTTTCAACCGACACTCATTGTCAATTTCTAGATGTAAGTCAAAATATGAATAAATATTTCAATCACATTGAATTTCCAAAATAGGTGAATGTCTTATCAATTATATTATTAAAGTATTAGCGATATTGCGAAACAATTCAAAAGAAAAAATAACTCGTTTGATATAATATACTTTAATCCACATACCCATCGTATTTTCTCTTGATTGTAACATTACAGAATACGACTAATTACTTATTTTTACATGCAAACATTAGTAACATGCCAAGTGTAACAGCAACTTCGTGTTGCACAATCTTTAGCTTTCTGAGTAATGTTATGTTTTTATTGTCTTTTCGTCGTTTTTTTTTTAATGCGTCGCAAACGACGAAAACAGGTATAGTAACCACAAAACTCCATCCATCCGTCCGAAAGACCTTGGATAGAAACTTCCGTCAAAATTTTCCTGGCTTCTATGAAAGTAAATAATTTTATATTTGGTATACAGCTTGATAATTATGAATTGTAGCGTCAAAGCAATTTATAATTCTGCAGTGTAGCCACTTCCTATTTGCTGACAGTTCGAAATTAAACAACACTCATTGTACAAGAAAATTGTTTGTCAAAGTTAAGAAATAAGTTAAAACAAGATTATAGAAGTCCTTTCCCAATACAAATATATCCACAAACATATTCAATAATAATGGGTGAAATAACAAGATAGGACAGCAAAATCAAAAGACAAGGAAAAAAGTATAATTAAGAAATGAATTTCCGCGCTTCATTCTAAAAATGTGCGCACGATCAACATTTGTACACCCGAATAAAATTACAAAAAGAAGCATTTATTTCTCATAATTATATTTTTATGCTAATAAGATCATAAGTTTTATCAAGTTTTTCTTTCATTTACCTGTGCACTCTTTTGGGGAAGCACGTGTCATCACGAACGCAACATTTCATTTTGAAATGAAGGTTAATCTTTGAATGACGAGCGATTGTTATTAGCCAATCAAACTAACGAATTATCGTGAAACCTACATGTAATGTCATTATTATAATATTAACCACAAGTGTATAAGACATGTAAGATAGAAATGGACTCATGTTGAGTGACTTACTGATAACTCAAGTTTTAGTTATATGCTCTGAATCTTTGTGTTTCCCTGATATATTAATGTATAAAACAAATAAATCTATATTGTGCTCAAATGTAAGGTCTCCGTCAACACCCAATAGAAGCTCAGTTGATATCACATATCTTATTTTAATACAATATATGATATCTTGCTCCAATGTGGAAAGAACACTCGAAAAAGTAGTGAATTCAATATTCAACTAGATGGCCAAAACTGCATGCGGGATTAAGGTTTGATATTAAAACGGTGCAGATCTGAATTAAGAGAACAGCACATATCTTCCAATCATGCATAAGTTATATCTTATTTTCTTTCACAATAACTGAAATATGAGGATGACTTGATTTGTTTTGGTCTCCACTTTGATTTGTTTGAAATATATGGAGAAGTTCGTATTTCGGGGTTTAGGCTCATCCATTCGACAATGATAGGAGGAAAACAGCGATTGTTTGGTAATGTCTACATGTACAGTGTATATTGGATTGATTTATTTGATTTCCCACCTGATACCGTCTCTCCTTTAAATGACTTCGACCTTGAATCATAATCTTTCTTTAAACAAGATTTATTAACACGAAAAAGCATTTTCTGCTCACATGGCTCATGAACAATATTTTCAATGAATTTTAAACTTATTAGATATGTTTCAGGTGTTATAACTATATTGATCGGTTTGAGATGTTTGCCGAAATGCTATAGTAAGTACATTAAGCCGTAATTTTGTTTGTCTTGAATTTACAAAAAAATATATATATATATAAAATTGAGAATGGAAATGGGGAATGTGTCAAAGAGACAACAACCCGACCATAGATATATTTATATATAAGTGCCTATAATTAAACCTTTTCAATAACTCTCGACACCGACTAATGACACCTACAGTTTACAGGTATTTTCTACATTGGCTAGAGGTATAGGGGGAGGGTTGAGATCTCATAAACATGTTTAACCCCGCCGCATTTTTGCGCCTGTCCCAAGTCAGGAGCCTCTAGCCTTTGTCAGTCTTGTATTATTTTTAATTTTAGTTTCTTGTGTACAATTTGGAGTTTAGTATGGCGTTCATTATCACTGAACTAGTATATATATTTGTTTAGGGGCCAGCTGAAGGACGCCTCCGGGTGCGGGAATTTCTCGTTGCATTGAAGACCTGTTGGTGACCTTCTGCTGTTGTCTTTTCTATGGTCGGGTTGTTGTCTCTTTGACACATTCCCCATTTCCATTCTCAATTTTAAACTAAAAATCATTCATGAATAGTATTACTTTTATATACACCTTCGATTTATCGTTTTACACTATTTTGACGAAAGAACATATTTCTAACAAATATGAACTATATCTCTCTCTTTTGTATAGCATTCTTATATCATGTAGTTATACGACATTTTACGTTGAATTTATTAAACCTTCAAGTAAAAATAATTACTGCAATCAATTCACATAATCTGCCTTTTTTTCTTCTTAAATTTCATGATTATGTGAGTATTTAGATAAGCGAGTCTGTCAACGCAGATTGTTCCACATGCCAATTGCGATTAATTCGCTTTTGTAATGCTATTTATGAAATTTGCAGAAGGAACATTGGAACAGGACTACCGTCCGTCCGCTAGAGTTTGTGTTTCTCAACCGATCTTCACGTCACTTGTTGTACACATTCAATTTTGGGAGGGGTAAAAGCCTATTTGTTTAAAGGTCAAAGGAAAATGCACATCGATAATTTAGTAACGAGAGACTACTCCGCTTTAAGATACCATGTTAAGATTGAGATGTTTCCTTAATGAACTGGAAACATCAACGGCACCATTTTTTTCTGCGCCACATGCGCATTTTTACAATTAATGTCTCTTCAGTGATGCGTATGGTATTTATATCCCAACAGAGCTTTTTGTCATTGCAGTGTCTTTTTGACAGCGCCGAACTGATTGACCGTTATAGGTTGTCCGTGTCCCGAAAGACGTGAACATACCTTTTCCCCTGTCGTAGCTTCCTTTCCTTTCCCTGTTCATGAAAAATGACCTTCGTGTGTCTTGCAAGAAAAGAGAACTGCTTACCCTTCCCCTTTTCAGGACATAGCTTTGGTTTTCTACTCTTTTCTATTTTTTCCATGCATAAAGGTTTTTAAATTTCATCTCTGACCATACATAGGGGAGATTTAAGATCCCAATTATACTAGTGAAACCCCGCCGCATGTTTTATGCGCCTGAAACAATTCATAAACAAGTTGGTCATTGCAATTGGTAAGTTTTTGTCACAATAGAATATTTAGTTTACAATTTGATATTTTGACATCATGCTTCGCTCTCATATTTATTTCCTTTTTATTCGATCAAAGATAGTAACTTTGTATCCTTTTTTTTTTGGGGGGGGGGGGGGGGTGGAGATTGGGGTCTTTAACCAAAATGCAGACTATGCGGTAACTGAATGTCTGTTTTATATGTTGCATTGTGTGTTTTTTTTTCCTACTGCAGAAGTCATAAAAATAGCAAGAGAACGGAAAAAAAAAAATTACGATTTGAATCTGAATCTGAATCAGAAGAGACACCAAGGGCCTTTTAGACAAACTAGCTTCATCGAGCGTGCATCTATTTGCAGATAAGAAACTTTTGCAGCTCATTGTACATGAATTTTGCTGCCTTGTAAATAATTGAAAATTTTGATGAAGTTCAAGATTAATTATTTAATTACGAAATTTGTGGTTGAAGTTTGCAACGTTCATTGGCCAATATTACAGAGATATAGAACACCATGCTGTATAATTAATTATTCTTTATCTTTTCTGTATCTTTTCTCGTCTTTTTCATTAAGCCCATCAGGTTCTAAAGTATGGAACTGGTGGATACAAAAGTTTTCTCTTCTCCTTCTCGCCGTGGTTTCCCACTCAGTGTTCACTTCTTTGATTTGGAAAGTAACATTATCAAAAGGAAATTTCTTTGAGCGAAGATGTCTAGTGAGGGGACAGTTTTTGTTGGTTTTGTACCATGATCGATGGTTATTTAGCCGAATATTAAATTTGTCCGTTGTTTCTCCCACGTACTGAATGCCACAGGTGTTACATGTTAATACATAAATTGAGTTCTCCGTTTTACAGTTGGAATTTGTGTAGATGGTCTAACTTTGTTTTGTAAAGGAGCTGATGAAAGAACTGCTAGTATTGGCAGCTTTACAACATAAGCAATTCCGTCTCCCACATCGTGTGTAGCAACCGGGAGGTGGAGTAGGTTGCTTTGTTAACACAACTGTCACTAATTTGTCACGGATGATTTTAGGTCTTCTGAAGGCCATACCTGGTGGTGAGGAAAATACTTTTTTTCAAATTGGAGTCATTCTCTACAATTTTTGAATGCTTTCGAACAACGGATGACACATTTTTGAAAATCAGTTTGGTAAGTGAGTACAAGAGGTGTTCTGTTGACTCCTTTATTTTTATCCTTGTACTCCATAAGTTCTTGGCGGCTATTTCTGTTTGATTTTTCGATCGTTCTTTTAATTGTTCTTATCAAGTAAGTATTTCGAAAGACTTAAAATCAGTTGCGTTCACAATTCATACAGTCTAAAATTACCGTTGGTAATTATATTTAACAAATTCCAGGAAACGCACTATTAAAATAACAATTTCATCTTATTTAAGTAATCATAATTATATATGTTTGTCATAAAGGCTATAATGATTTATGGCAAAATGATTGACAGGATTTAAATCAGAAATCATCAGGAAAGATGAAGTAAATCAAAAACTAAAAGAACAGGAAGAAGGTGTGAAAGATTATGTTGATGAAAAACTGAAACAAAATTTAGAAGAATGTGTACAGGGTAGGTATGATAAATCTTAATCTGAAAAAAAAATCATAGATTAATAAGAACATTTGATGATGATGATGATGATGGTGATGATGATGACGACGACGACGACGACGACGACGACGACGACGACGACGACGACATCTATCCCGAATCATGTTGGTTGACGGTTGAAATCGTATGTGATATTAAGGAAAAACATATCATATAGACTTGATTATATACAATTTAAATCAGTTCAAATAATTGATTGTTTTTTGTCTGACGTCCAGTGGCAAATATTTCATGCATATTCAAGACGAGAACATTTTTAAGTTAACAATTAAAATAATAGGTTGGTCCTCGAATAGGGCTTCGACCTGGATAATGTGCGTGGTAAGTTTGGACTTCCATTGGGAAACGAGGGTAAATTGGATAGAGACAGAAAATAAGCCTGACAACAGACCACCTACAGATCCCTAAAAGAGTTGTTGCAAGGGTTCTTAGCGTGCAGAGAGCGTGGAACTCTCTCTACACGACGCATCGTATTTCACACCCCCATTCTGATCGGACATGGCTGTGAATTTATGCATCCCTCAGTGTCAAACAGACGTCCCACTTTAGCAAGGGTTTTACTGCTGGTCGGAAGAAGACGAGGAGACTATCATATTTCTACTTCTACAACCAGTCAACCTTTGGGTCAGAACAATTTAAGTTAAATGATGTTATATAAACTTTTGGATTTTATAACGCTTTTGCAACCAGTGAGACAATGTATCAATATCATCACAGATTGCTGTTATAGAAAGATTGCAATTGCATTGTTTTCGTGTAAACTTCATTGGACTAGGTATTTTCTACTTAATATGAAATATGTATATATATTTATAAATAAATAAATTATTTTTGATAATTTCAGTTTACATGAAAAGTAAAGAAATGGATTTCAACGAGAAGATTCCCCCTAAAATTCAAGGTATATTCTATAAAAAAAATGAAGGCAGTATTTCCCAATCTTCAAAACAATTAAAAATTATTGCCTCGTTATTAGATTCAACTAATATTACATAGATTTATATATGTTATATATTATTATTACGCATTATTCTGCATATTGTAAACCCGTCCTCTTTTCTTCTGATATCACATGGACAGTGGAATCGACCTCATATCTTGCCTTACATTAAAATTTTACAATTCACAATGAAGGTCGGTTGAGAACAAAATGGCTGATTTTATCTTCCCAATTGGGAACTCTCGGTTCAATTTCCTATAAGGCAACAATCCAGCAGCTGCTGCATAATATGGAATATATATATTTCAGTTAATACGACATTCTAGTGCTTGCGTTTCCTATTATAGTTTTTCTTGATAGAGGATTGTTGCTTACAAGAAATCTCTTGTTTCGCTTCCACCAGTTGATTGAGCGTAATGTAAATCTGTGTCAGTTAGTTTTTGATATTTGAGTTCTGCTATCTCTTTGGTATCATCAGCTTCTCATTTGTAGACTATTGGCTATATATAAAACTTAGAATAAAGAAATATTACCTATCTGTCATTTAAAGTCCATGTAAATATTCAAATATTGCAGAAAAATATGATCAGCATATAGAAGAATGGAAAAATGACAACGAAAAGTTTATTGTAACTGAGGCAACTAAGCATATAGATGACAAACTATGGGCAGATAATTGCGTTCTTGTAATTGGTCGCCCGGGAAGTGGAAAGTCCTCAATTATTCGACACATTGCGCTCAGGTTAAGCATGGAAGACAAGTATGAAATAATTCCAATCGTATTGAGCCCGAGTAATATATTAGATTATCACAACGAAAACCGAAAACAGGTCTTTATTATTGATGACTTTTGTGGTAAGCTAGTTATAAATGCTCAGAATGTAGACGTGTGGTCTACTCAAATCGATGATGTTTTGAAACTCATCAAATTGGATATAGACCAGCAAAATGCGAGGCCAGGATTTGTAAAATTTCTGTTTTCAACAAATGAAGACATTTTCAACGACAAAGTCTTCGGAAATCGCCTTGAAGAATTGACACCGTTTTGTTGCAAACTCTCAGAGAAGCCTTTAAAAGACGACGAAAAATTACAAATGATTAAGAAATATATATCAACCGAGGAAGCAAATATAAAAGAGACCATGATATCAGATGAAGTATATTTTCCTCTTCTCTGCAAAATATCAGAAGGCAAAACGGCTGATCAGATTGTTAAGTTGTTCAGCAATTTAGATGATTTCATCAAACAAGATCTATTATCACTTAAAGATACCAGTGTTATACAGTTCTGCATTATTACATTATGCGCTTTGTTTGAAAACCGTTTCAATGACGAAATGTTAAATGAAAATTTTAAATTTGCGACAAATAAGGAGGAAAACGCTTTCAAAGAAATTTGTGCTGAATTCAATTTAGGTCTTCATAAAGAATCAAATAAAATGCGTTTAAAAGAACAACTACAATCAGTTGAAGATACTTATGTTTCTAAAACTGAGGATTATTATAGTCTTATACATAGCAAAGTATATCAAGTCGCAGAGATTGTATGTGCACAATCATTCATAAATTGCTTTATTAAATTTGCACCTAGTTCGTTTATTGCTGCACGGTACCGCTTTAAATCGACCACCGTAGAGAAAAACGACAATGTAGTTTGGATAAATGAAGCCGACACCGAAAAAAGATATTTCAATAGATTGTTTATGGATTTAGAAGAGGGGATAACCTACAGCACATTTCACAATGCTCAGCTCTGTAATGTAGTGTACAGGGAAAAGTTCTGTTCCTACTGCAAGAAGAGAAAAGAGAAGCTTACAGAACTTCTTCTCCAAATAAAAGAAAGTAACAAATCCTTACCCCTGAATGAACAAAGTTCTCCTGATGAAAATGCTGACTATGAAGACTATTTAGATTTTAAAAAGCAGTATCACTTCATTTCTCACAAAATGCGAAAGCCACTTATCGAGTCAGCATGGGAGGGATATAGTGAAATTGTCAATATGCTGTTAGAAATGGAATGTGACATTAACGAGACGGATAAATTTGGAAGAACAGTCTTATTTGTTTCTAGTTATCTCAATAAAACCGACGTTGCCAAAACATTAATAGAAAGCGGCGCTATGCATGACATGTGTAATGAAAAAGGACAATGTGCGTTATTTATTGCTTCTAGACAAGGTCATTACGATATAGTAAAAGCTCTTCTTCAAAAGAAAGCTAGTACAGAACATTGTGATTTAGATGGGCACTCATCGCTGATAGAAGCATCCAGATGTGGCCATAAAGATATTGTAGAAGCGTTATTAAAATCAGGGGCAGATATTTCAAAATGCGATAATATTGGTAGGTCTCCCCTCTTTTTTGCGTGTTTAAATGGACGAAAGGATGTTGCAAATGTCTTAATAAGAAACAATGCCAACGTCAACCAATGCAACAAAAAAGGATTATCACCCCTCTCAGTAGCTTGCACGAAAGGAAATGCACATTTGTTAGATATCCTTATTAAAGCAAATGCGGACATTTCAAAAGTAGATAGTGATGACAGATCACCCTTGTTTATTGCGTGCGAAGAGGGGTTTGACAATGTAGTTGATATCATGATAAATAAAGGTGCAAACAAAACGCAATGTGACTGGCAAAACAGATCACCCTTATTCATTTCATGTGAAAAAGGTTATTATAACATCGTTCAATCTCTGATTAAAGGTACATCTGATTTGATAAACCTATGCGACGAAGAAAGTAGGTCGCCATTATTTGTTGCATGTGAAAAGGGAAAAGTTGAAATTGCTAAAATCTTACTAGAAAATGGTGCAAAACTTAATATTTTCGACAATAAAAATCGTTCCCCATTTTATGCTGCTTGTCGATCTGGTTACCTTGAGGTTGTCAAGCTTTTATACACCAAAGGTGGTGCAACAGATGATTGTAACATATGGGGCGGTTCACCTCTGTTCGTTGCTAGCAGAGAAGGTCATTTTGATATTGTTGAATTTTTAATAAATTTAAAATCGGATGCTTCGAAAGCAGATTCAAATGGGAAGACACCGCTAATAGTAGCATGCGAAGAAGGCAATGTGAAAATAGTCACGTTTTTGATAGCATCTGGTACCGATGTTAATCATTGTGATAATGAAAGAAGATCTCCGTTGCATGTTGCATGCTTTGGTGGATTTGCAGATATAGTTACATCGCTTATAGAAAACGGGGCGGATAAAACTCTTTGTGATATTGACGAACACATTCCTTTAGAAATAGCTCGTAAAAAGGAATTCAATGATATTGTTGAACTTTTAACTTAAAATTTACTGTAACTAAAACAATCGTAGAAAAACAATTTTTTTTTTACGTTCAACATGTGAGAAGTATTTCGATAAAAATTCAGAATAAAAAAAACCTTAGTAGACAGATATACATGATATAAGTAAACTGGGGTTGCGGATAACAAGTGGATGAGATACAAAAACGTCAACTTCGGATGACAAATGGATAAGATACAGAAACGCCAACTTCGTAGTTTCCGCAGCCATTATCGTTGTATACTTGCTAGGAGTTAAAACCTTATGAATATAAAATCTAATTATTGTACGAATTTCCAGTTCGTGTACATCTGGGTTGCTAAAATTCTGCTTATATGTTTTTTTGTTTGTTTTATTTTTGTGTGGAAATAATTGAAGTAAAATTGAAGTAAAATTGAAGTACATTTTTACTATTTACCAACATTATGCGAAACTTTAACTCCAAGTTTTGTTCCTTTGCTTTCTGTCGCCTCTCATGAACTCTTTATTGATTTTCTCATTCAGCCGACTGTTAAAACAATTATTTATTAATATTTATTGCTACATGTATAATGAGTGTAACTGATAAATAATTTTATTTCAATTTTATATTTCATAATTTGTACATAGAAAAAAGCAATGATATTTTGACAATCCTTATACTATATGAGCTGATTGAAAAAAAAACTAAAGCAAAAACTGTTGGTTTAGTTGTGTTTAATGAAATAAAACAATCCTATTGTTGATATTGAAGCACTTTTTAAACAATTCTGTGATAATGAGTCTGCCACTACTTTTCTATTTCTTATATCATTATTCATAAATTATAACAGTACCAAGGACACATTCATTTGGTATTAAATTGTGTATATAGCCAAACTAGCCTTTAAAAGAACAAGTAAACTGTGTGTCTCTTTAAAAAGATTTTATTTGTATTGTGTCGAACAAAATGACAAGATCGATTGACACGGGATTAGATTGAACAAAAAGATATCAGTTATTAAAAGCGGATAATATTTAAAAAATGTATATACAAATCAGGAGATGTGGTATGATGTCAATAAGACAACTATCCAGTAGAGTCCAAATGATATAAGTTTATACTATCGAAGATGTAGCAATTCTATTTTTATCGCAATATGACAAGGATGTATGTCTATTACATTCTATATATTGACGAAATATGAAGAAAAAAATATCAATTCTAAATATGAAGTAAAAAAAAAAAAAAAAAACAGAAGGAGTTTAATTGAAAACACTGTATTGCTTTTATATTTCTTGATACGAAATTGTAGTAATATGTAGACATCAACTTCCACAAAAACTGTCACCATGCATATCAGTGTCGTAGTTGTAGATTGTGAAAAGGGGGAACTTCTGAAAGTGACAAGCAAAAACCTTTTCTGAAGTCTACAAATGATCTAAAAGTGTAGAATTTAGTCATTGTCCTTATTTTTTAAAAATTTTTAATATATTTATGGTAAGAAAAACTGAGGAGGGGAGCAAAACTACAACAGATAGTTTTGCCCCAACCATTTTGAAAGTATAAAACATTCCCCCTTGCCCACCGCTCTTACGCCTTCATGTGATATCGTACGTTGAAGAGCAGACTTGTGTGTGTCATTCTAGTACGAAAGTGGGGCGTTGTCTTCCTGTGGACAGCGTTCCAGTATACTAGCACTGTAAAGTCCTGCAACTACGGTAGGCTAGCACAAAGAAGTCAAAATTATACACACACCCTTTAGTTTTTTATTTATTTTATTTCCTTTTATTTACTTATCTTTTTTTGTACATATAAAACCTTTTACTTATTATTTTTGCAAAACTCACATACGCATATTTAGGCCTATTTCTAGGCTAGATTTTTTATACATTTTCAGTTTTGCCATCTTTTTGTTTACTAAAGGAAAGGATAATGCTATAAACAAAAAAAGTTCGTACATCATGTTAAATTTAATAATATGTTTAGTCAGTGAACAGTACACCACGAGCGATCAGATGTACAATGTATACGAAAAGAGGTGTTGAATATACGCAAACGACAAAACAAGCTACCTATCATCACATAAAAATCAGATAAATGACAATTAGAGGACAACATATAGAAATAAAAAGATGTGGTATGAGTGCCAATGATACAACTCTCCATCCAAGTCACAATGTGTTAAAAGTAAACAATTATAGGTCAAAGTACGGCCTTCAACACGGAGCCTAGGCTCATACCGAACAGCAAGCTATAAAGGACCCCAAAATGACTAGTGTAAAACAATTCAAACAGGAAATACACATTTGTAAAACGTGTTAGGATCTACTAGTAAATTGATTGAATTTTAAAACAAAACAACGAGTGAATAAGTTTTATAGAAACTACTTAAGATGTGTCATCAACATCAATGTTCGGAGAAGACGAACAAACCTTCTTACTTTCTAATATCAGTGGCTGTACTGAAATGTATATGTCATCAACCAAGTAAGGAGAAGTGCTGAACAATGATTTAGCTAGATTTCCATTGTAAATTTATTCTCAAAGAAATTGAATGAATGACGTGATAGAAGCTTATAATAATTGACAATGCTCATTGTGTGTGTAAACAAATTTGTATAAATATTCCCCTTAATTGTGAGTGAAAGGGTTCAGAACTAAAAAAATTACAAATTTACTTAAATCTACAGCAGTATAAAAAATCTGACAACAATATAGGACAGTATGACTGAATAGCGAAACTGACTTATGTCATATATGAATAAAGTGGGATGAGTGCTGGACATCAATGTAACAGCTATCTAACCTTTTAGTCTCCCTTGTCTTAAAATGCTGTAAAAACGAAGGTTTTTTTTCACACATGTTGCTTCAGTTATAACTGTTAACTTTCAAAATTAATTATTCAAATCCTGCATTTCGGAAGAACTTTACAATGTTAATGTAAGTATGAAGCTACTGACCGGCTGTTATCCTCATAAACTTACAATCAAACAGCAGCGGTATTTGCCGCCCAGTGTGTGTAATATAAACTTAGGAGATGTGATTATAATAGACAATGAGACAGTGATTTCATTTAGTGTTTCACGAAACAGCTACATAAACGTTTGTTTTAAAGCGAAAATGGTCCACAAAGAATCACCAAACGATTCATAGCCTTACTTAGTTATAAATATAACTAAACATTTAGTGTCATAATGTATCACTTAATGTAATCAATTATACCAAACCACTGGCTAGTATACATGTGCGCATGATTTCCTGGTGGAAAATTGGACATAAGAGTGATACAAATCCAGAGATAGATGTAAATGGAATATACAGATTTCTTTGCGGATGATATTTGTTTGTAGGTAAACTCGCCCTTAGTCAAGCTGAAGACAAAAAGTTGAATGTTTTTGACAATCAAAACTTCCTACAAGCTGCATCTTTTCACATCAACTTTGTACTGTAAAAAATTGTCATTCTTCCACTAATTACCCCTTGCAAATAGTTATTGCTTTGTCTTTTTACGTGAAGAGAGTTTGAGATTTTTCCTTTGAGTTTTTGGTACTCTGATACTCTTCTCATGCACTGTGTATTTCTACAATGTGCACTGTCAAACGATAGTCCACTTCCAACCTCCATAATACATGTTTTATGGAAGTGAAGAAGCCTTGTCATTCCGTAGACATAACATCGATTTCTTCAATCACATGAAACCGAGCGTAGATGCATATTTATATTTTCTTCTCAACCGAACAATCATCTATCTCGTTCAAGACTAATTGTTAAATACATTATCATTTCACAAATTTGGTCCTTCCGAAGCACTTTAATTTTCTGGATTTACTTCAGCAGGAACTTTACCGAAAAAAAATGGAATGTATAAATACTTGATGATCTAAACATGAGTATGACCAAAAGGGAACAAAAATGTATAACCTAAAACTTAATTAAAGGTCAACATTGCCTGAGAGAGTTAGAACCTTAGTTTCAAAATTTTTCAACAGAAATTTTGGGATTTTATGTTATCAATCATGACAGTACCAAAGCACCGACTCCTTGCCTGATGATACCCTCACGGACTAATACATGTTGTTCACCAGCACGGCAGCAACCTAGTTCTTAAACATAAATTAATGCTTTATCAATGTGTTCCAAAGAAGCGATGTTTTTTTTTTTTATCTCTGTGGTCTCAACGATGTTAAAATTTTAGAGAACTAGTACAAACAACCAGACTTAGCGTCTGTAGACTTAACATCCGAAAGAACAAAAAAAAAAAACCAAAAAACAAAAACACTGTAGTAAGCATACACAGACAAGATAAGCATACAACAACAAAACATGTTGCCACAGTGATAGGTGATGCTTGATCTAATGTAGAGTCAAACGTAGTTTTGCAATGTTATATTCTCGGTAGAGCTAGTATACGGAATATAAAGGGAAACACCTTCATAGAATTGCATAATCGAGGAACCTCTAAACGGGATGACAACGGGAGCGTTGTCTGATAAAGTGTCTAATAGAGAAAAAAGTGCATTCATCGCCATGCATGCTAAACAGTGAAAAAGGCCAAGATATGGAAAAAGACAATTTTATAAATTTTGAGATAAATAAAAACATGTCATTACGATATGGAATTAACAGTGTGAAAAAGTGTAAAGTGTCACATCTAATATTTATAAATTTATATCAATAGAAAAACAAAGAATACATTTGTATGAGGTATCTATCCATGACATAAAATCAGTACATACACAGCAAAAACACACAAAAAGCACAGGAACAGCGCTGTGATTGTTGTTCTTCATCTCAAAGTCACAACGTTGTTATACAAATTAGATAGTCATATGACTACTAGTATACAATTTCTGTTTTTTTTTCATTTGCTACAAGTATTGGGAATCTTCTTTTAGAGAATATTAATTATAAACTCCGTCGAAATACAAGTAATTATACATGTCTATCAACCAACCAGCAGATGACATTTAAACGTTTCCGACAATTAAACATGGTACTATATCAACCCTACGAAATGTAAAATTCTCCTAGGTCGTTCACGTCGGTCAATAACCAATCTCTGGTATTGATAAATCATTCTACCAACCTCATCAAAAGTCAATTACTGTATATTGATGACCTGTGATTTTTACATCGCGATGACCGTGAGGGCATTCCGATGTATTGTTGCCGACGAGATTTCTACTTACGTAACTTTCTTGTTTGACTGGTAACCGATCTATAAATACGCGGTCATTATCGAGTGCAAAATAACATTCCTTATCGTTTGTTATAAATTCATTTCTTAAATGAATACTCATAAAATATTTTGTTTCGAACATAAATTTGTAATATGAAAATGTTTTGTCGTTAGAAATATATATATAAGTAAAAAATCATTGATAATATCTATGCACACGTACAGAAAAAATTGTGTTATCGCATGAGAAAGAATATC